AGCCTCAGTAGTGTGTGAGCAACCAAGCTGGCGCTCGCAGCATGACGCACAGCACTGCTGTTCAGCATGTGACCACACAGCATCGCCTAATAATGGCAAAATTATATATATAACTATGTATTATTTAGCTCATGATATATGTTATATTAGAGCCTGATGTGTGATAATGACTGGTAATAAATGTTCAAATATCAGTGATTCAATGCTGTTCACGATGTTCACAGCGCTAGCCACAGCACCACAGCATTATTTCGTTCATCTAGGACTCTTCAATATGATTTCTTAGGTTCCTTTTCAAAAATTAATACGTGTGGTCAATTATTATTTTACAGGAATTAGTGACCAGGATTGTGTATAATAGCAATAATGTGGTTATAATTAGCGTTGTGCGTAGTATTGTGGAAGGAGGAATTTTGATGAGGGAGGGAGGGCGAGAATTGAGGAAGCCTCATGTGTATGTGGCTGCCACTCTTGTTTTGCTCACCATACTAGCTTAGTGGTTCGCTATGGGCAACACATATGTACATGGGTATATATAGTGTGTGTATATAGTGTATAGAACAGCAACAGGAGAATGTTGAGAGGAGCTATTTTGGTGAGGGAGGTGACGATAATCGTAGCGTCGTCTGCTGTGTGATTTTTCATGCAGTGTATGGTGGCCACTGTACTGTTTGGACACAATACCGGCTTACTTACATAGTTCTGGTAAATAAAAACATGTAGATAGGTATATAGAACATGTGATAATAAGAACTATAACAATTATGGTGGGAGGAGCAATTTGGCAGTAAAGTAAATGTTGGAGTGAGGGATACAGGCTGGGTGTGGCTGCTCTCACTCGAGGTGTTCTGAATGTGTTGATGGCCAAATGCTCGTGTTGGCCCATAATAGGACAGCTGCTATTGGCCCATACGAGGCAGCTGCTGTTGGCCCATACGGCAGCTGCCTCTTGGCCCATACGGGGCAGCTGCTATTGGCCCATACGGGGCAGCTGCTGTTGGCCCATACGGGGCAGCTGCTGTTGGCCCATACGAGGAAGCTGCTGTTGGCCCATACGAGGCAGCTGCTGTTGGCCCATACGAGGCAGCTGCTGTTGGCCCATACGAGGCAGCTGCTGTTGGCCCATACAAGCAGCTGCTGTTGGCCCTACGAGGCAGCTGCTGTTGGCCCATACGAGGCAGCTGCTGTTGGCCCATACGAGGCAGCTGCTGTTGGCCCATACGAAGCAGCTGCTACGCGGTGTTCTGAATGTGGTGATGGTGAATGTATATAGTGTGTAAGTAGATTGTAATATATACACAAATTAGCATGATACATAGTAAATAGTGTGCTGCATATGTGTAACAAGTTTCATGCACGTAACACAGTGTCTCATGACAGTACGGATGTTGTACTGCGATATTATAGTGTATGTGTTCATTATACATTGGATTGGCACATAAAAACAATGAAAATGTATTTGGAAAGGTGCGCAAAAAATGAACGAACCATATATTCGCGGCAACACTCGCGCGCGCCCCCCCCCTGAGAGCTTAAGGCACGGGCGCACGGGAATGATGACGTTCACGCCCCAACTTCCGGACCCCATAGCAGCCAAAGTAAGTACAATTCGCCTTTTTTTTACATACCACCCGTACTGAGGGAAGGTTTGTTGACACTTTAACAAAGAAAAAGAATTTTTTCCAGAGAATTTATTTCCTGCGCACTGCGGGGTGTCACATTTGGAGGCAACGCAGTTAAGGGGTTAAGAAGGTTCGGTTAGGTCGTGGTTTTTCTATACAGCTTATTAGGTAAACTCTAATATTCACAATATTTTGGTGCGAGTCTGGCGATTAAGTGTATTTATGTACTAAGCTTGTAATCAGGAATGCACTTATTCCATTTAGTATTAAAACGTACTGTCTATTCGGAGGATGGGCTGTTGAATTGGCTAAGCTTTTATATTGGCCTGACATATATAGCTGATTGCTCATAAACATAACAGTGTATCTGATAATTACACATTACTTTATATAATTTTTTTAAATATAAATCCTATTCAACATACTGACACAATGTTAAGAGTATCAGTCAGCTTATATCCCAAATAGTTCTTAATTGCAGTTGTTTTAGAACAGCTGATGAAATTTAATAGTATTTACACAAAAATGTTAGGACAGACTTGGAGAGGCAAGTGAGCAAAACATTTGTGCACCTACGTGACTGGCTGAGCCCTCGTGTGCCTACACTTACCTTTATTTGGATGAGTGAAGGTAAAGAGTGCTTGTGATGGCGCCAGCTCCTTTTTGTTATGCAAGTACACCACATATGGGGTCTCAAAATGGGCAAGGAAATGTTTGTCCTTCTCCCGACAATTTCTGATCTCATTGTACAGCTTGGGCGACTGGAGGGGACTCAAGAACGACGTGTAGCTGCAGGGTATACTTATCCCATCCTCTGAAAAATACCAGGAAAGAATAGTGAAAGAGGGCAGTATAATACTTGACATTTACCGTACAATAATCTGACTAAACAAATACTATACATGGTAAATTAAATGAAGAAGGCCTATTTGTCTTAGTCATTATATTATGTTTTAGTTAATATCAAACTAAACTTATGTCTTACCTATGCTAGTAACAATCAGAAGTCCCACATCAAATATGTTACTCAGTACAGTACTGTAATTTGTTCTACATAACAACTGCTATATGCAAACCAACATTTACCCAGATGTTTTCTGAATCTAAACTTTTCTAATTTGTATCCATTGACTGAAAGACTGGAAGAAAAATTAACCACACAACCAAGAGGAACACAAGGTAAATCTGAATAAATATTTTGAATTCATAAAGTCTTTCATATATTAAACATACAACTCCTACCAGTATAAACCAAGACAATTGTTTATACAACCAAGACAAAAGAGAGATATCGGTTGCCTGCTTGATGGGGTTCTGGGAATTGTTCTACTTCCCAAGCCCAGACCGAGGCCAGGCTTGACTTGTGAGAGTTTGGTCCACCAGGCTGTTGCTTGGAGCAGCCCGCAGGCCCACACATCCACCACAGCCCGGTTGGTCCGGCATTTCTTGAAGATGTCCACAGTTGTTCCAGCAATATTTCTTATACTCGCTAGGAGGATGTTGAACAACCGTGGACCTCTAATATTTATAGTGTTCACTATGTTTACGTCTCTGCTCTTCACTGGTTCAGTTCTGCAGTTCTTCCATATCGTTCATTCCAGTATGTTGTTATTTTACTGTATAGATTTGGGACCTGGCCCTCCAGTATTTTCCATGTGTATATTATTTGATATCGCTCTCGTCTCCTTTCTAGCGAGTACATTTGGAGAGCTTATAGACGATCCCAATAATTTAGGTGCTTTATCGCATCTATGAATGCCGTATATGTTCTCTGTATTCCCTCTATTTCAGCAATCTCTCCTGCTCTGAAGGGGAAAGTGAGTACTGAGCAGTACTCAAGACAGGACAGGTACAAGTGATTTGAAGAGTACAACCATTGTGATGGGATCCCTGGAATTGAAAGTTCTCATAATCCATCCTATCATTTTTCTGGCAGACATTTTTCTTGGTTATGCTCCCTAAACATTAGGTCGTCTGACATCGTTATTCCCAAATCCTTTACATGCTGTTTGCCTGGGTTGTGGTGGTCATTGGTTTTCATGAATTATGTACAGTACCTGCCTTGACTAAGCGTAATGTGTCTAATAACACGTCTGATACTTACCTAAAAGAGCAACTGAGAGTGGCAGCTTAGAAAAATAAACTAAAATCTATAAGGTAATCTCACGATGGTGAGATTACCCAGATCCCTGGAGAAAAAAATTCTCCAGGGATACTTAATTCAATGGAAGTACTGTACCTTTTAGAAATTTTTGAGCACCATCAAGACATTCTGGGGAAAGCTCGTTGTCTCCAAAAGAACCTAGTAGTTCAGACACCAGGATATCGGCTTGCTCAGGAGCATTCCATTCCCTCATATCACACGATACCACAGTTACCTGTTCCAAAAACAATCAAAACGTACTGTGTTAGATACTCATATTTGCCATATCACAGTCAGTTTATTCTGAATGTAAAGCTGCATGTCACTTACCCTTCTCCCTTCATCATGGTCATTATTTATCTTTAGTTAGAAAGAAATTTCAATGCTTAATCCATTTAATGCTTTGAAAAACAGATTTGCTATGAGCAATCCAAATTGTTTGGATATTGCATGACCAATGTTTTTAAAGTAATTCATAATATTTCACATTTTGAAAATGTCTCAATACTCATTTAACATTAAGGTAATAATTTCTAAGATGTGTGTAACATGACTTCTGGATGCCTCATACAAATTGTTGGCAGTCTACAATAATTCTCCAAAAAAAATATTCGGATTTGTTCTCAATACTGTAAATAAAAAAAACACACTTTGAATGCACTAGAGCGATCAATAAAGGTATCCACAGGCCAGCCTACTCATAATACAAAAACGGTGCTTTGCACAGTGGCAGTATCAGAACCAATAAGGTTGCTACTGGTGAAGGTAACACATGCATATATCGGGTTGTTTTGTAGCAAGATTTTTAGCTCATGCTAAGTACTATATTTTATAAGATATTCAAGTCTCACTTTGCTCTCTTGAGGTGGCTTCGGTGGTACTGTGTATGAATTATGGTGGAATCCAAAGGGAAAGCACTTATCTTTGTGTTGACAAAACAATTTGAAGTTACAGAGGACTGTGCTGTTTTGTTGGGAACCAAAACAAAAAACCCACAACACAACACTGACACTACAATACCTGAGCCCTACAACACTAACATTACAGTACCCGAGCCCCACAACGCTGACACTACAGTACCCGAGCCCCACAACACTGACACTGCAGTACCTGAGCCCCACAACGCTGACACTGCAGTACCTGAGCCCCACAACACTGACACTACAGTACCTGAGCCCTACAACACTAACATTACAGTACCCGAGCCCCACAACGCTGACACTACAGTACCTGAGCCCCACAACACTGACACTACAGTACCTGAGCCCTACAACACTAACATTACAGTACCCGAGCCCCACAACGCTGACACTACAGTACCCGAGCCCCACAACACTGACACTACAGTACCTGAGCCCCACAACACTGACACTACAGTACCTGAGCCCCACAACGCTGACACTACAGTACCTGAGCCCCACAACACTGACACTACAGTACCTGAGCCCTACAACACTAACATTACAGTACCCGAGCCCCACAACGCTGACACTACAGTACCTGAGCCCCACAACACTGACACTACAGTACCTGAGCCCCACAACACTGACACTACAGTACCTGAGCCCCACAACACTGACACTACAGTACCTGAGCCCCACAACACTGACACTACAGTACCTGAGCCCTACAACACTAACATTACAGTACCCGAGCCCCACAACGCTGACACTACAGTACCTGAGCCCCACAACACTGACACTACAGTACCTGAGCCCCACAACACTGACACTACAGTACCTGAGCCCTACAACACTAACATTACAGTACCGGAGCCCCACAACGCTGACACTACAGTACCCGAGCCCCACAACACTGACACTACAGTACCTGAGCCCCACAACACTGACACTACAATACCTGAGCCCTACAACACTAACATTACAGTACCCGAGCCCCACAACGCTGACACTACAGTACCCGAGCCCCACAACACTGACACTACAGTACCTGAGCCCCACAACACTGACACTACAGTACCTGAGCCCCACAACGCTGACACTACAGTACCTGAGCCCCACAACACTGACACTACAGTACCTGAGCCCCACAACACTGACACTACAGTACCTGAGCCCCACAACGCTGACACTACAGTACCTGAGCCCTACAACACTAACATTACAGTACCCGAGCCCCACAACGCTGACATTACAGTACCCGAGCCCCACAACGCTGACACTACAGTACCCGAGCCCCACAACGCTGACACTACAGTACCCGAGCCCTACAACGCTGACACTACAGTACCCGAGCCCCACAACGCTGACACTACAGTACCTGAGCCCCACAACGCTGACACTACAGTACCTGAGCCCCACAACACTAACATTACAGTACAGTACCTGATCTCCCCAGTCTTCATCCTGCTGTGCCTGAAGTGTCACCACAGCATTTGGATTCTTCTCTACAGCATATACTTTAATTTTTCTCTTGGCTCCCTTCGCTGCAGCCAGAGCTCTCCTTACCAGTGGGCCACGACCAGCACCCACAACCATCAGGATACTGAAGAAAGCACATGTAAATACCTCGATAAGATTGAAATTTTATTAAGTGTCTGTGCATCCACAACTGACCAATATTATATGTATAAAAAAACATTTTCCATTTTCAAGAGATAGGAAGGATCTGACAGAGGCAACACAATATAAGATATAGGGAATAAAGAAGATAATCCACATGCCCATTCACTCGACACATCTTAGGATACTAAACACCATCTCGGAGAATCAATAGCATTACACTCCAGCATCAATCCACAATAGTACCTTACTGTTTAATATGTCTTCAGTGCATTCCATGACATCATTTAACCCTCACAATGCAAGGCGTGCTCGTGAGCACTATCAGGGTAAGGGGACAGCTTTTGTAAGATATCTGGGAGGACATTGTAGGTAATGTCTATAAATGTTTGAGTGGAAGAGTGACTGTCAGAGGTCTCTAGAGATGTATATTTGATGTTATTAGAAAATGTCACAAATCTACCCACTTATGTAAACAGTATTTATTTAATTATATGAAGGTAATCCTGTAATGTACAACTTTGTTATGCCAAGGAAGTAACTATTTGTCCCATAACCCACCGTTTTCCAGGAACGGATTTAGTGTCAGTGGGCACACTGACTTCCTGGAGGTTAACAATTTTGCCTCTAATTAACATTATCGTTGCTACCAACATTTAAATCACACATCCACTATAATAGGATAATTTATCCTGCCTACTTTAAAGCATTTTAAAATTTTTACAAACCCCAACTACTACTTTTGGGGTCATCTTTAATCCAATCCTCAGCATGCTGCCCTGGAGCATATAACACTCAACGTAAAGCTGCAGCTACATACATCTCTTTCGTATCCTTTTCTTCTTCGGGAATTTTATCACAAATAGCCATATACATTGCTTGTTCATATTCGGAGTATTTGACTGGATCCTTCTCGAAAACCTCATAAGTTTGAGATTCCAAGTTGTCCATTAGAGGTTGTAGTGGACACTGAAGGTAGTCCTCATATCCACGAGCAAAGTCTGTCAGTGGGTCCATCTCTAACTGCGCCTGAAAGAAACATTTCCGAAAGATTAAAGAAACTTCACAAAATAGTAAAGCATCAAGAGCTAGTATAAATATGACAATTCTGAAGTTTGTTTACATAAATGCAGGAATACTATTAAAAAAGTAGCATTAAATGTAATAAAATGCCTCTTTCTAGTGGATCCAAAATTTGCTTGCCAATTCTTGCCTTGCGGTTATCTTGAGGTTATCTTGAGATGATTTCGGGGCTTTTTTTTTTGTCCCCCCCGCAGCCCGGTCCTCGACCAGGCCTCCACCCCCAGAAAGCAGCCCGTGACAGCTGACTAACACCCAGGTACTTGTTTTACTGCTAGGTAACAGGAACATAGGGTGAAAGAAACTCTGCCCATTGTTTCTCGCCGGTGCCTGGGATCGAACCCAGGACCACAGGATCACAAGTCCAGCGTGCTGTCCGCTCAGCTAACCGGCTCCCTACTTCTGATAGCTTGCTTGCCACTTCTGATAGCATCAGACCTATTAATTCTCACCTTGCCCTTGAAAGTCATCAGTAACCTACCGGAGACTAGAGGCCAAATCTGGACCCCTCACAGAGGCATAAAGCAGAGGATATTAGACTACTAACAAAGAAAACAGCCACCAGAAAGGTAGAGGCAAGTCAAAAACAGATGCCAGGCTAAAGTAAACAAATGAGAAAATGAGACCCCCAGCAATTAGGTAGGTCCACTTCCCCATTACCAAGTGGCATCACCGGGAGCTGCTGGGTCCACTCATACCATATGAGCTGGACGATAGAGCAAAGGTCTCACTTCATGCAGATCAGCGATCAATTTTTGACCGTCTACATGGTTGAGCACCATTCCTTCCCCCATCCCATCACAAATCCTTATCCTGATCCCTTTCAAGTGTTATATAGCTGTAATGGCTTGGAGCTTTCTTCTGATAGAACCCTTCCCCATCAAGCCATGAGCAAAATTCAGGTAAACCTAACCACCTATGACCAACCAGAACGAGGCTTACATTCAATACTAGGATTCTAGATAGGGTCCAAAGTGGCTCCCTGTTGCTATCACACCATAGAGAATAACCAATTTTTTTTTTATCTCACCAGGAGTGGAGGAGAGCAGCAGAACACACCTTCCATAAAGGGGAAACCAGTGGCGGGTAACCTGACCCAATGCCACACATGACTGCCTTTGGTAGCACATAACGTGCTACCAAAGCAGTCTTAAAGTGCTAAAACCAAGTCTAAATATCAGCCCATAACATAGTAGTAAAACTGCAGACAAAGCTGCAAACATTATGGGCCCTCAAGGTAGACCACAGGCTGGCTAAACTTGACTGTAGATGACCTGGAACTAGGGACACCAGATCGACAAACCATCCATCACCTTATTCCAGTCGAGTAGTGCGCACATATCAATGAAAGGCCACAAACGGACACAGGAGATTATGCACCCATGGCTGAACAAACCTTGAACAAATAACTGCAGAATCCCTCCAGAAGCCCATCAACTCATTCTTAGCCAGAAATGGAGGTTGCAAATGACTGCATACCAGGGTCTAAGGAACAAAACTGCCACTTCCGGAGAAAAATAAGAAGCTACCCCAGTCTACATCTAGAAGCAAGAACCAATAAAATCAAAGATTTGAGAAAAGTCCCAAACTGAAGAGACGACTGAGAATCAAATACAGACACCATATGCAGAAAATCATCTCCTGTAAGGGAAGGTTCCAAGCTGCAAACTACACCTCTCTGATAAACAGAAGGTGGCAGAATCCCGGCAGGAAGCATCGGCTCAACTACCTCTGCTGCCAACACAGAACGGGCTAACCTCAAGAAACACTGGCACCCAAGGAGGAACCAAGAAGGGGATTGGAAGCCAGGTGAAATAACCCAAACAGGCCAGGAGGAGGGGGGGGGAAGGGAGACTGTGGGGCAAATTTGAAGCACAATAACACCAACCTTCCTGACTCTGAATTAAAGGAACACAATGAGGCCAGATTTGGGGCATCCACGTAGACACAAAGCTGCAAACAAGGCATATGGGAAACCATTCCCTTAAAGCAGCTGCCACCAGATAAGCCCTGTTCTGAGAATTGAGGCAGATCTAATACCGAGACCCAACAACAATACTGTACATGCTGCAGGCCCTCAGGGTGGAAGGTATCAATCATCCAACAGGCAGCAGGAATGACCATCAGAATATAATGAAACCGAGGTACATCCTTCAAACTTGCACCCAGTGAAAACACCAACCACAACAGGGACTTTGTTAGGCCCTAAAGAAAACACTTAAGCTAGGACAACAGGCATGCAGGGTCACAGGCCAATAAATTAATACCAAACACACCCTAAGAGATAAAGGCAGCCAAATGGCATGCCACAATTATATGCAGATGGATCCAGGCAGAGGAGTCAAAGACCTGTGCACATATTATCAGGAAGATGCACCCCTCCACAAGAGGTCGGCACACTTAAGGCACACCTCCCAACCCCTCCAGAGAAGATAATCCTGTCAGCGAGCACCTGGGGAAGACAGCCCTGAACACGTGCCGCTTGAGGAAAACATCTGCCGAGTTCACATAAAAAATGATGTCGGTAAATACCCACATAAAGCAATAATACTAAAAGTAGAACAATACAGAAGCAAATGGCCCCCCCACAGGACAAAGCCCAAATGTAGCCAGCTATTGCCAGCATTTATCTGAATATATACCAGGGCCTGATGGGCAAGGCAACAGGTGGATTATCACCGTGTAGCACCAACCAAATAACTGGGGATGTTTCACTCCCAAGCCACCAGGTCCCCAGTGCTGCCACGTGGTAGAGGGGTGGTCGAACTAGCAATGGAACTACCTAACTGCTGGGAGTCATTTTGTTTCTATACTTTTGGCTTGCTTTGTTTGTCTTATCCTCAGTGACTTCTTATCCTCCAATTCCCGTGCTGCTGTGAGTGGACCAAGTTTTGGCCGCTAGTCTCAGGAAAGGCTATTTATGACTTGCAAGAGCTTGGTGTTATTTGATAGGTGTGGAGCTACCTTGGATGCTGTCCAGAAAGGCAATGACACCTCTGTTCTCTCCACTAAATAGCAAGCTGACCGTACAACAAAACAGTTACATAAGCAGCACACAAAAATATGAACTCTAGAAATAGTTACCCTGATAATGTGTTCCAGATATTGCTGATATAACTTGAAGTGTTGATGTCGGAGTGGTCCAGATATGACAAACTGAGCGTGCAGTTTAAATAGTCCCTTTATAAACAGCTGGTGAGCACGAGAGAGAACAGGAAACCCTTTCTTGTTAGTTAACCAAATAGATGTAGGAAGAATAGCAGTTCTCACAGGCTCTCCTAACCACCTGAAATAAATACAATACATATTTAAGGACTATATTACTAGTTTAAGCTTGATACACTATTAACCATATGAAAAGAAGTATTTTCCAGACTTATATTAGGTAAAATATAATTATGATTTGCTGGTTAACCGACAAATTTACAAGAATTACAAGTATTACTAACAGAACCGCAAATTCCACAATTTGCACATCTTCAATATAAATCATGGAAATTATAAAGATACAAGGCGAAATCATTTCTTCACCCCATCCTCATATCCCTTCCTTGCGAGATATGGATAATTATGAGGCGAGAACACTAAGCCAGTATAAATATATGGCCCTTGGGAGGAATATGAGGACAAGGATATGAGATAGGTTGTAAGACTAATGGTGCCTAACCACTTGGACCATCGAGGATCTAATGCCAACCTGCAAGAAACAAGGCCTCTGCTGTACTGACGATTTCAAGTGAACGGATACAGTCATATGGGATATAGTTACTGCACGACTATATCTATTTTATAATATAATCATGGAATGGATATAATTTGTGGGATGTAGTCACACTGGCCTTGTGCTCTTTCTTAACAATTACCTTACTGCACATATTCGGCGAGGGTTTCAGTTCTTCTTCTCCCCGAGCACGGCCTGAGGCCAGGCTTTACTTGTGATAACTTGGTCCAACAGTCAGATGCTTAGAGCGGCCCACAGGCCCACATATTGATTATTATAGCCTGGTTAGTCCAGCACTTCTTGCAAGAACTTATCCAAGTACCTCTTGAATACATCCACCATCGTTCCGGCAATATTTCTTATGCTTGCTGGAAGGGGATTGAACAGCCGTGGACCCCTGATGTTAAGACAGTGCTCTCTGATTGTGCTTATGGCACCTCTACTCCTCACTGGTTCTATTCTGCATTTCCTTCTGTACCTTTTGCTCCAGTATTTTGTTATTCTACTGTGCAAATTTGGGACCTGGCTCTCCAGGTTCCTTAAAGCAGCTGCCACCAGATAAACCCCATCCTGAGAATGGAGGAAGATCTAATACCGAGACCCAACAACAATACATGCCGCAGGCCCTCAGGGTGAAAGGTGTTACCCATCCAATAGGCAGCAGGAAACCACACAAGCTTTCTTGTGCACAAGAAAAAAATATTTCCTCATAAAATTATTGATTTGAATGGGGAAAAAAAAAAAAAAAAAAAAAAAAATATGTAAGTATTTGTTTTGGTTTTATGCACATCAGATGACCTCTGGGTAAGGCAGTCATTTCCTCCATACACTGATACCACACAAAAAATTGCCGACTTCATGTAATACAGAGATGTGATGATCATGATAAGATGGTTTATATATTTGCTATTTCACACATCCATTTTTCTTGTATAGACTAATTGCCTAGCACAAAAAAAAATAAGTTACTCCACAGAAGTAAAGTCCTCCATAAGGCTTAACTTGAAGAAAAGAACTGCTGCCATTTAACATAGCTCTGAATGATTGATGATAATGATGTTCATCCTTCAGAGTCGATATATCACGTCAAAGATCGGTGGCTTTGTGTCAGATGATCGGGGATGAGACCAATCTGGACCCACACACAGGACATATGTGGGTGGGTGCTACTGTAGAGGTGGAGGTTGCTCTGGCTTTACGTGGGGTGCATTTGATTCACCGCATCATGCGGTAAATGATGACTGACCATTTAGTGACATGGCAAAAATATAAGTTAGTCAACTCGTCTAAAAAAAAAATTTTGGAAGAGTAAAACGCATGCTCACCTGTCAATAACAGATTGGTCTGGGAGATCTGCCGAAACTTCCAGAGCCAAGCCAATTTTTTTCTGAATATTTGCAATAGTGTGAAACCTGCAAGGGGTAAAAATATGTAATTATCTGAATGTTACTGTGACCAAAATGCAAAACTCTTAGCAAACACTCTGCTTACATAATATTTATTATATATAATATAATATATATTACACACACACGGCACCTGGGGTAAATTGCTACCAGTTTTTTTAAGGAACTGGGTTCTAAGCTCATTGAAACAACAAGGGACCCTAGAACTGCCAGCTTTCTTTTCCAGCGCCTCAGCGTGGCGATACAGAGGGGAAATGCACACTGCATTCAGGGTTCCTGCCCGCCATCTGAGGAGCTGGAGGAACTCGACAACTTATGATAACCATATTTGTACCCTATATGTAACTCCTTTTTTGTAACAAAGTTCAAATAAAACAAATATATATGTGTACGTACAAAAGTATGGGGGTGGTAGAAGATAATATTAGTGTTCAGTGAGAAACCACAAGGTCTTCTCTGAATACTTTTTATTTTCTTCTCCGAAATATATTTCTTCAAACCCCAACAAATGCCAATTCAAATGCATTTTTATCCTTCGAAATCATGATGGCATTATGTACAACGTACAGTACTTTGGAAGCACTACATCGATATGGAAGAAACGGTAATATTTCACATAATTCACCAGTTGGAAAGGCAGACCGAGATAACTGGGAGGATGCAAGAGACGAGTCACAATAACGTGGCTGAAGATATGATGACCAAACCACACGTCGTGTCTTCATTTTCTGATGTGTGGTTTGGTCATCAACTGTGAAGATATGGAGCTGTATTAAAGAACATCTGTAAAACAGTAAACAAGAGGGGTGGTAGTGAGAGGAAATGTTGGAATGAAAAGAAATGGCAGGCCGGAACATTGATCCTTGGAACCACCTCATGGTAAATCTTTTCTAGGTGATGAACAACAAAGAGTGGACATATATACACACACCCACTGGGTCAACACCTGCATCAGAGGAGCTCCTGAATATTTCAAAATTCCCAAGGATTGTAGTACAGGTTGATGATAAAGAGTGGTGCACCAAGGAATATAAAGGTGCAGTGGCTTTGAAAAATAAGCGAGATAACAGGAATGTGCTAAGGGAAGTGAAAAAATTGGTTGAAAAATCATTCAGTACCTTCCTCTCTTGGGTAAAAGTGACCATGTCTTTTTGGGAATAAGGTATGCAATGCTTTATAATCTGGAAGAAAATAAGGAGGTTGAAGCAGTTGAAAAACCTGATTTCCGGAGGACATTATAAAGAACTTAGAACTTTTTTTTAAGAAATTTAACTGGAAAGACTTGCTGTTAAGAAATGAAGTAAATGAGATGTCAAGTTTTGTGAAATATATGATATAGGAATAAACAAATTTATACCAAAGCAGAGATGCAGAACTAGGAAACAGGATTAATTTAACAGAAATTGCAAGAGGGCCAGAGATCAAAAAGACAAAAAACCAGTGTTGAATGTAATGAAACACCATTTTCTGGGTGAGCCCCGGAGGCTCCCTGGAGCTTATCAAGCTAATGTATGTTATATTAGACCGGGACATTAGCTAAAAAGTTCAGACCTACCAGGGACCAGCGCCAGAACCTGGCCCCTTCAGAAAGGTTTCAGGGAGCAATGGCCCTGGAAAACCCCCTTGTGGTTGGGGTTTTCCTTATCTGCCATCAACCGGGGTTAGGCACCTAGAAAGGTAGGTATAACAAAACAAATCCCACGTGGTAAAAAACAAACAAAAAAAACGAACAGAGGTAGAAACTCCTACAATCCCAAGGAAACAAGCAAACATCACACTTTACTGCTGCGCCGATCGTCCGCGCAGCTCTCCTCGCCCTGAGAGGGGGAGGGGGGAGCCCCGGACCTACCGCGCCAGCTGCCTAGCTTCAGTTAGGAAGCCAAGCTTCATCCAACGCGAAAAACTGCCGACCGGTGGGAGGGAGGGTTGCCAGGGGAGCCTCTGGGGCTCACCCAGAAAATGGCTTTTCCTTACATTCAACGCTGGTTTTCTGTGGGGAGCCCCTACGACTCCCTGGAGCTACATCTTGAGGTTATCTTGAGATGATTTCGGGGCTTTTTTTTTTTTTTTAGTGTCCCCGCGGCCCGGTCCTTGACCAGGCCTCCACCCCCAGGAAGCAGCCCGTGACAGCTGACTAACTCCCAGGTACCTATTTACTGCTAGGTAACAGGGGCATTCAGGGTGAAAGAAACTTTGCCCCTTTGTTTCTGCCTCGTGCGGGAATCGAACCCGCGCCACAGAATTACGAGTCCTGCGCGCTATCCACCAGGCTACGAGGCCCCTAAAGAGAAGCCGAACATACCCGAAGAGAAGGAAAATAGGGACTTACCCGGGAGGGGGCAGCCACAAACTCCTCAACGCGAAGTCGAGACAACTGGCTGCAACCTGCAACCCAAGGCAACAAGAATGTACAGGAGCAGACGCGCATAAAGAATGGGCAGCCAAGAACCTGTGCGACCCTCAAATCCCTGTGCCCGAAATTAGCCCTAGACGTCACCAACACAGCAGCAAAAGCTGCAAACGTCCGAACAGCACGGGCGCAAGGACAGACCACAGGCTGGAAGACTGAAAAACTCTGCTGACGACCTGGGAGACCCGAGCTCTGAAACAGGGAACGAGGGGAACCGGATCAACCCGAAGCGCATCCCCAGACACAGTACGCAGGTAACGGCAAAAAGCGCAACCGGACAACACAGGACGCACCCCCGGCCAAACCAATCAAGCATCAATAACCCAAGAACCCATCCAGAAAACAGCCGTCTCTACCGTCACCAGGATGGAGAAAGGCTGCAAACGTACAAACCAACCACCAGTACCAAAGAGCAGAAGCCTGAACCGAAGGGGCTATCACAAACTGAGGAGAAGATAAGAAGGCACCCTGATCAAGGACCAGTACGGCTCAGGCGACGCATGAGCAGGCCAGAGGTGAAACAAAACACGAGAAAGCGTACGAAACGCGGCAGATGTGACGTCCACCCCGAACGCAAGCTGGAGCGGCTCCGCCAGCGCCACACAAAATGAGGTGACAGTAAGAAACATCAAATAACTGTAGTCCTGAAAACCCAAGAAAGGACAAGACAACCGATACGAAAGAGAAGACAACCTACGAAGAGCAAGAAAAAGTGCATAGAAACACCAGGAACGTCATACTGTCGCCAAGACGAAGCTTGCAGGTGGGACACCATCAACAAAGCCACCTAATCACCACAGAGATGGTGATACCCATGTCAAAATACCAGACGCGAAGAGCTGAGGAGAAGGCCAAAGCAGTCACGTACAGGACCGATCCGACCTGCCGAAAGAGGCAGAGCCGTGGGAAAACGCCCCGGGTTCGGACACCTATCAAGCAGCGTCTGAAAATAAAGCTGGGCCGGCCACCAAGGAACCATAAGGACTACTCTCGAAGGAATGGGCTCCAACCGAGCCAGAACCCGAAGCAACAACTGGACCGGGAGAAGAGGAACAGGTACCACCACCTCGACCAGTCCTGCCGAAAAGCATCCACCATGAACGCCTCGCAGGCGGGTAAGAGCGCCACACAAAATGGGCGACACCTAGACCACCCCAACTCGAAGACGTCCATGGCCAGGAGTCCATATGTCCGGCAGAGCCAACGAAACGAGTCGGCGACGACTGGCCAATCTGCGAAAAGAGAAATGAACCGAGACAGCTGTCTGCCAGGACACAGGACACACCCCGGATATGAACCTCACGGTTAGCCAAACCCCGAGAGTCCAGCAAACGAGCCACTCTAAGGAACCAAACCCAAAGGTCAACACCTAAGAGAAACCTTGTGGTTCCGGCAAAGAACTGCCAGAGAACAGTCCGAATGGAGCCGAATGGTAGAGCACCGAGTGACCCAAACCCTCCGAAGCGCAAACTAGACAGCCACGAACTCCCGAACCATGCTGTGAGCCTGACAGACGGACAGACCCCACCATCCCCGGCCGACCTGGTGAGCACTGGTCACAAAGCCCCAGCCGAGAGATGACCCATCCGTGAACACATCGAGCAAAGGCTCGGGGAGGTGCCAAGGCACAGAACCCCGAAAACCCCAAAGAGGAAGCTGGTGACACAGCACCAACACAAGATCCCCGGAGGAATGAACCCAACGATTGCAAGAGAGGCGGAAGGGGAGTCTCCGAAGGAACCAAACAGACGCCAAAGTCAAACCTGACCCCACGGGCAGACCAGCACGTCGAAGTTCAGATTCCCACATGACTGCTCGAGCAACCGCTGAGCAACCCAGGACCCCCTCATGAACAGCCGAAGGCGGGACCACAGTCGTAGCAACACTTCTGGAGGGAAAAACTAGGAGCAGTGCAAGAGCCCTAAACAAGGCCCAGCCAGGTCCGAACCCGAGACGGAAACAGATGGAATGGCCTCCAGATCACCAGGAAACCAAACCCGGTGATCTGGAAAGAACCACACCCCTGGCGAGCAGACAAGCGGACCAACTGGGAGCCCACACCAACCAGTCGTCGAGGTAGGCCAGGCACCGAATCCCAAACAGACTCAGACAGGGCACCAAGATCCGGTAAAGATGCAAAATACACCAAGTGCCAATTACAAAATAAGGAAGGCAACAAAAGCAGCAAGCCTGAAGCCCCACCACCAACTGTGCCAGTCCCGAAAAACTGGAGAGGAACGTGCCAAGAATTGACCTGGAGGTCTAGGGCCACCATCCAGGCACCCGGCCTCAACAGAAGCCGGACAGGAGACAACAGTCCTCCGATGAGGGCATAGAATCCAGGGCACAGACTGAAGAAGTCCAGAAGAACCGCAGATTCGACAAGCCCATGTCTGCAAAGAGCAGACAGGAACCCCAGAAGGACTGGCGGATCAACCACGTCCAATGCACCCACTAAGATGACGTGACGAAGCGCAGGGGAAGAAGCCCACCCCGCCAGCCCTGAACCCCCTAAAGGGGAAAAAGCCGTCCACCGCCACCACCAGAGGCCGGAAGACAACCAAAAGCATCCACTAACTGCGGGACCATGCGAGAG